TATGTACAACTTCACAATTCCACTGTCCATGTTCTACTCAAGAGAAGTAAAACTATGGCTATGCAAAGAAATGTATTTATATTTTATTCTTAAGAGCTCAAAGTGGGGCAGGCAGGTGGCATGGTGGTTAAGAAACTGGACTCCCACATGGTCACATGGTGGTTTGAGTCCTGGACCTGGTGGCTTGCTTTCTCATTTTCCCTCTCTCTCTCTGGTCAAATTAAAAATAAGTAAAATTAAATATTCATTTTTAAAAAAAGACAGATTTGGTTACTTTCTGTTGACAGATGTGTGCTTGTTGGAGAGGCAAAGTGAGAAATCACCCCCCCTCCCCATCCCAGGGGGAAGGCCATGCCACAATCCCTTCTCCTCCATTCTCCTCTCAGGATTTTGAGCATATATGAACATATGTCTAACATGAGTTTCAAACCACCAGGTCTGGGACTCGAACTGCAGTTGACCATGTAGGAGTCTAGCACCTTAATCACTACACCACCTAAATAATTCTTTTATAACAAAAGAACTCAAAGCTAGAAACAACCTAAATGGATTAAAAAACAAAAAAAAGAGAAAGAGAGAGAGAAAGAGAGGTATATCCATATGTGGAATATTAATCAGAAGTAAAAGGAATGAATTACCAGTACTTATATCATTTTTTTTTAAATGCTAAGTGGGAGACCAGCAGATGGCATAATGGTTACATCACTAGATTCCCATGCAGTCAACTGCAGTTCGAGTCCTGGACCCAGTGACTTAAAACTCACACTGTGTGTGTGTGTGTGTGTGTGTGTGTGTGTGTGTGTGTGCGTGTGTGCCCCAGACCCTAAGAGAAGAATGAAGAAGGGATTGCCATGTGGCCATCTCCCCTGGGGGGGAAGAAGGTTGTGATTTCTTTCTTTGGTTCTGTGTCTTTCCGGTGAGTGCATGTGCCCTATTGCAAAAATTTCTCTCTTTAAAAAACAAACAAACAAACAAAAAATAACCCTAAGCAGCCCGAGACTAGATCCTATATCACTAACTGTCCAAATCCTGGCTTCAGTGACGTGAAAACCACTCTGGGTAATGTCCATGCATGCCCCAAATCCCGACAGGATGGGGAGATCAGAAGGACCTTAGGAGACCACATAGCACTGGAGGGTGAGGCTGTGATTTCTTTCTTCCTCTCTCTCTCTCTCTGGCTCTCTCTGGTGAGTGCACACACCCACTGACAATTAAAAAAAAAAGGCTAAGTAAAATAATCTAGCTCAAAAATAAAGTCCATACCACATAATTCTGTTTATATAAAATTCTGGAGCAAGCACAACTAATCTTGTAATGGCAGAGAAAGCAAATCAGTGGTTTCCTGGGACTGGGGTAAGGGACTGGACTACACAGAGGCCTAAGAAAACTTTCTGAAGTGATGGAAATATTCTCTATTTTGATTGAGCTGGCTGGTGGTTACACGGGGATTTACAGCTGTAAAAACTCACTGAACTGAGGAGGAAAAAAAAAAAGCCACATCAAATGGTACAATTAGAACGGGTGTGCTTTTATTGTATGTAAATTTCGATCTCAGTAAAATGGATTGTTAAAAAACAGCCAGCCATTTCTTTAGCAACCGAAAATTACTTCTCCATGCCTGAGGTGGCAGAGGATAGGATAGTTGGGGACAAGACAGGGAGTCACTCATTTGTTTGTTTTAAATAGATTTTAATTTTTAGAGCAGTTTTACGTTCACAGCAAAAATGAACAGAAGGTACAGTACAGAGATTTTCAAATGACTTCCCCCACATGCATGGCCTCCCCCGTTATCGACACCCTGCACCAGGATGGTGCATTCGTTACAATTCATGAACCAACACTGGGGCAATCATTTTATCACGCAACGTTCATCCTGTGGGTTTGGACAAATATGTAGTGATTCGCACCCACCAGGTATCACACAAAATGGTTTCACTGCCCTCCAGATCCTCTGTGTGTGGCCAGTTCATCTCTCCCTATACACTAGCCCCCAGCAACCACGGATCCTTTTACTGTCTTCATAATTTTCTTTTCACAGAGTGTCATATAGTGAGTTGCTGGAAAAGTCATGATGTTATTTTTTTCTGTTTTTCTATGCAAAGATGCGTAGAAAACCCAACAGTTTCCGACCATCGAACAGTTGGAGTCAGAAGCATGTCGCCTTTTTCAGACTGACTTATTTCACTTGGTAGTATTTAGGGTTCTTTTCCTTCCATCACTTGATAGGTCATTTCTTTCTCTTTTTTTTTAAGATTTATTTTAATTTTATTTATTCATTCATTTATTTTTAATTTGACGAGAAAGGGACAGAAAGAGAGAGAGAGAGCGTGCGCGAGCAAGCAAGCCACCAGGTCCAGGACTTGAACTGTGCTCAGCCATGTGGGAGTATCCAGGACTTTAACCATCACACCATTTGCTGGCCCCAGATAATTTCTTTTTATCACTGAATCACCTCAAATTGTCTGGATGAACCACAGTTTATTAATCCATTCACCTGCTAAAGGACATGTTGGTCAACTCCAAGTTTTGGCAATTATGAAGAAAGCTGCTACAAATGCATGTGCAGGTTTTTGCATAGATATAGTTTTGAACCCATTTAGGCAAATATCTAGGAGTATGATCGCTGGATCCCTCAATGCTGAGCTTCATAAGGTACTGGTGGGCTGGCCTCAAGGTACAGCAGTTAGCCCTGTGCATAGGGAACCAGGCCATACACGGCCAATTCTGGTTTAAATTCTGGCTATGGCAGCTTGAAAAATATGCAGGTGTGTGGCATGCAGGCCCCGAATCTTGATGGCATGGAGAAATGGAGGAAAAAGGATTGCAGTGTGACCACACCCCATCGAGGCCTTCTCTCTCTAGCGAGCGCACCATTCTCTGGCAAATAAATAAACAGGCAAAATCTCAAAGTGTCTGTACTATTTTGCATTCCCAAGAGCAATGAAAGAGCATTCCTGTTGCTCCACAATCTCAGCAGCATTTGGTGTTGTCGATAGCTTGGATTTTGGCCATTCCATTAGATGTACAGCGGTATCTCGTTGTTGCTCTAGTTGGTAATTCCCTAATGACAGATGATATTGGTCATCTATTCCTGTGCTTATTTGCTACCTGTATTTCTTCTTTAGTGAAGTGCCTCTTGAGCCTTTTTGCTCATTTTTAAATAGGGTTGTTTTATTACTTATTTCTTTATTTTATTTCTTTACTTATTTTTGAGAGAGGTTTTTGCTATAAGGTGCATGCCCTCACCAGAAAGACAGAGAGTGACAGACAGAAAGCAAGAAATCACCCCCCTTGGGGGATGGCCATGCTGCAATCCCTTCTCCTCCATTCTCCTCTCGGGATCTTAGGCATACACATACATACACCTGATGTGAGTTTAAGCCACTGGGTCTGAGACTCAAACCACAGGTGACTACATGGGAGTCCAGCGACATAGCCATTATGCCAACTGCTGGTCCCGAGCCAAGTGTTTTTTTTGTAAAAAAGCAATCACTTATATATTTACTTTTATTATTATTATTAAAAAATAAATCTCTCTGTGCTCAATAGAGAGAGAGGGAGAGCCACCAGGTCCTGGATTCAAACTGCGGTAGGCCATGTGGGAGTCCAGTACCTTAACCACTACGTCACCAGCTGGCCCTCCAGGTGGTCTTTTTAAAAAGTAAATTAGATGGGGCCAGAAGATGGCATAGTGGTTATGTCATTGGACGCCCACATGGTCGACCATGGTTCGAGTCCTGGACCTGGTGGCTTGAAAATCAGACTGGGTGCATGTGCGTGCATGCCCAAGATCCCAGGAAGAGAATAGAGGTGAAAGGATTGCAGCATGGCCACACCCCTGGGGGGTGATTTCTGACTTTCCCTCTCACTGTCTCTGTCTCTCTCTTCAGTGAGCACAGAGGTCCCATGCCAAAAAACTCTTAAAAAAAAAAAAAAGAAAATGTAAACCAGGAGCCCAGATGCGGGGCACACAGTGTTGAGACTCTGTGCTCTGCAGTTAGGGACCACACAGGAGGCCCAGCTGTAATTCCTGGCCCAGCCTAAAGGCGAGGCATCATTATGGCATCTACCTGTAGTCCCAGCTGGGAGGTTGAAGTAAGAAAGTTGTGACAGCAAGATCTTATCTTAAAAAAAAAAATTAAAATATTTAAGTTCCTGCTTAAAAACTCTCAAAGCTTTGTTACTACTTTTAGGAAGAATTTCAAAATCCTTCAGAAACCCCTTTAAAGCCCTGCATCATCTAGTCCTGCCAACCTCTCTGGGGCCATCTGATGCCTACTCCCTTCCTTAACTCTGACCCTTTTGCCATCCCAACCGCTCTGTTCCCCTCCAAACAACTTCTTCCTGCCTCAGGGTCTTTGTACATGCTCTTCTCACTGGGCTCATGCCTCAGGTTTTAGTCTCGAAGCCACATCCTGTTCTTTATGTTCACAAAGTACCCTATAATTTTTTTCCTTCATCTAATTTGTCATTCTTCAATTACATGTTTATTTGTGCAATTGCTTGTTTCATGTCTGTTGCCCTAATTATATTTCACAAAGGCAGCGGCAGTCTCGAGTTGCTCGTCAGTGGATTCCAGATGCCTGGCATTTAAGAGGTCTAAGTAGATATTCTTTTATGGATAGGTGAGTGCGTAAGGGGTGTTTTAGAATATAGGTTTTATTACTATTTAGGTATGGCAAAACCCACAGACCAGAGGACAACTGGCCACAGGTCCCAAGAGAAGGAGGCACGTCCCACCTCTGCAGACACACCGGAAAGCAGAGGGATCAGCAAGGGGCAGAGGGACAAGGGGACAAAATGGGCAAGAGTCTTTACTGTGGTTTCCACAGGAAGGAAGGACAGAGGCAGGGCAAGTGGGTTTAGGATTGGCTAGTTGAGGATTAGCCCTGTGGTCTGGTGGTTAAGGGAGCTGGATCCCACATGGCCAACCAAATGATCCGAATCCTGGCCCCAGTGGTTTGAAAAACATGCCAGGCACATGTACACACGTGCCTCAAATCCTGACGGGATGGAGAGATGGAGGAGAAGAGACGGCAGTGTGACCATGTCCTATTGCGGGGTGCTTTCTCTTCTCGCTCCCTCTCTTTCTGTCTCTCTGGTGAATGTACATGCCCTCTGGTGGGCAGGAGAAATGATTGGCTAGTTTGATCATTTCGGGGGGCTTTGGGGTATAGGGGCAGTCCCTAATTGCCTGTTACCCAGGCTAGGGGTGATTAGGGTGCAGAGTCTGAGAACCCACTAAAGGAGGTGGATGTGGGCAGAGGCTCTGGATCTGTTGGTTGGCATTCGAATAACTCTGGGAGTCACTGGAGGGTCGTCAGCAAGGCTCCAAGTTGTCAAAGCATCAGAATAGAGATGGGGCTAACTCCATGATGCAGTGGTTAAGTGCTGCAAAGAGGAGGCCAGATCCCATGTGACTGATGGTGTTCAAATCCCAGCCTCAGTGGTAACATGCCATGTGCTCAGGATCCTGACAGAATGGAGACTGGAGAAGGAAGGACTGAGGCATGACCAGACTCTGTTGGGGGTGGTTTCTCTGTTTCTTTCTCTGCCTCTATAATGAGCACACACATGCTCTATCATGAATAAGGGGTGGGGGATAGAAGAGAGAGAGAGAGGGACCTAGTATTTAAGTTACATAAATTTCCCAGAGGATTGGTCCTCCAATTGTTAACACACATGTGCACATGTGCACATGTGTGCACGCACACACACATACACCCCTACACACGATTGGTCCTCCAATTGTTAACACACATGTGCGCATGTGCACATGTGTGCACGCACACACACACACACCCCTACACTTAATCCCTATACTCAACTGGAGCTATAGATCCAGAGCAAGCAGCCCTGGCCAATGCTACTGAAAAACGTGCTCAGGGTATGGCTCTCTACTTTCTTCCAGGAGTAGAATGAACATGTCTTCCCTCTTGTCTCCCTTCTATTAAGGATATGAGTAGTAACTGCCTTCCAACAGGAAGCTGGGATAAGTCCTAGCAGGGCTGGACTGCTATTTCAGAAAGAAGACGGTCACTCCGTGTAACCAGAGCAGTGGTACAATCCTAATCCTCCTGGGCAGAGGGTGGCCAGTCATTTCTGTGCAGAATGTGCTTCTCTGAAGACCTGTGAGTTACCTGGAAGAACCCAAATACAGACAGATGCATTCCTTCCAGGAGTAGGGTGTTGTTCACGTTTCTCAGTGGTAGCCCACAGAATCCACCCCAGCTAGTTTAAACAGAAAGGCATTTATTAAGGGTTAAAGCCAGATCATAGAGTCATTGAGGACATTGGAATGAGCCTCCCAGGAGGACTCCCAAAACCACAACACAGAACTGTGCAGCCAAAGGACCTTCTACTTGTGCATGATCAAGAAGCTTCAGAAGCAGGAAGCTGCCTCCCCTACCACCTCAGGAAGCGGCCTCCCAAATCAGGAAGCCACTGGCAGCCTCCAGTTGTACACAGCCTCTCCCACACTCTCTACTATGTTGCCTTTCCTACAAAAGTTAACATCACATGGGAGTACTTCCGGTTCATAGGGAGCAATTCACATCTTACACTCTAGCTTCAAGGGATGTGGATTCTAGAAAATGGCATGTGTAGCTCTGGTCTCTCAATCACAGTGGGGATGAGTATAGCCCACCACAGATGGTTTGGTGCCTTTCACTGGACCTGCCATGTTCTTAAAGAACCAGAACATGCTTACTTTTTAAAAATTCGTTAATGACTAAACAAAACTCTCCCCCTAAATCTCAGTGGCTATGATTCTGCTCCCCATGGTCCAACTTTCCAGTGCTCAAAGCCTATATGCCTGGATGTTGACAGGTTTCTGTGTCTACACCCGTCGGCATAAACCCAGGGCTTCTTAGAACACAGAACAAAACATGTGTCCAAACTCCAACTAGAGATTGGAGTTTGTAGCGCTCTTATCTAGAACACAGTAAAATTTCCCAGCTGAAAGAGGCTTAGCAACTGGTCTTGACTCTTTCTGTACTTTTATTTAGGTCATTTAACTTCCTGAGATTTAAATTTTCTCAGCTAGGACAGACCTGGAATCAGCTACTTCCTAAAGCCATTGACCAAAGCAAAAAGTAACATACACGAAAATGCTGTCTAAATTGGAGGACTATCGGCTTGAGCTAACAAGCAGGCAATACCTCATGAGCTCATTCTCATGGATTTATTAGGGTTGTCCAGAGAACAGTGTTGAGAAGGATTCTGAAGCTTTCTATGGGTTAGCTGGGGAACAAAGTACAATTGTTGGGTAGGAATGCCTATTGTGATTTCCAGATGTTGTTGGCATTGGAAGGGCCCTGGTAAGGAGGGTGTCACAGATGTCACATATCTGACATTACTCTGTGTAAGTGGGTGTTGTAATCAGCATAATGAAGACACAGCTGGGTCATTAACAAAGCAGTAAAATGTCAGGTAAAAGCGTATGTGACGTCAAGAAACAAGTGGCTTATTTTACTGGGCTCGGAGTTGGTTTCCCAAACAGCAAACTCCAAGCAGGGCCCTGATGGGCTAGGAAAGAGATAAACATTTAGCTCTTGCACCATCTCCTGTGTTCCTTGTCATCTGTCATTTCTCGCATGTCCAGGCCAGGCCCTCTTTCACTGCCATGATGCCCACTTCCAAAGCAATCTTATCCACTTCCATGTCTTTAACCACTTTCATGGGTATCTCTGGCCCAGATCTCCTAAGCTCTGCACCTGAATATCCAACTGCTACCTGCATGTTTATACTTGGTCTGAGACCAAGTATCTAGATGCATGCAGCAAAAAGCACAACTATTTCAAAAGATATGAAGTAGTTCATAGAATCTCTGAAAGAACAACAAAGCAAAAGACAATGTCCAAAATCATGTCCTAGAACTGCCTCCTGTGGACACAGGCATAGAATCCTGGACCACTAATGTCACTGGCATTGAATACTGGATGTTGCAGCTCGGACAGGTGACGGGGTGGACACTGCTGTTGCAACCCTCACCTGAGCGGATTCTGTGTGGTTGCTAAGTCTTTGAGTCATTAGCTTCCAAAGCGATGTGCAGGAAGAGTCTGAATGACCGAGGGTAGGATTGTGCCCATGCATTGGACCCAAGGAAGTCTGAAAACGTAGGGGCCTGGCCTTTGTATCTTCATGTGCAAGGCAGTTTGCAAGAGGGTTTAGATGCCAGATGGCACTTTGGGACCAAGGTGGTATGGTGGATCACAAGGTGGAAGAAGCTTTATGCCCTAAACTACCATGTCCTCATGCTGACCTATAACACTGTACTGGACTGAAATACAGACCGAACAAATAACCCCAAACATCTATGATGCGAAGCCACTGCAATTGTGGTTTATTTCTCAGGGAAGCTACAAGTGTTATCCTAACTCCTACAGTGGCCCCCAAATAATTTAAAATGTCCACTTCATGACCTGAGCACAGATCTCAAATCCAGCAGGTCACCCTCTTCATCCCACAGCGCCAAGCTTGTTCTTTTTTATTTCCAACCTCCCTTGCCCTCAGAACCCTGGCTGTCACCTTGCATTCCTCCCTCTGCTTTATCTCTGCCATTGAACCAGGGATCGAATCCTGCAGGTCCTCTCCTGTCAATTACCTCCTCAGCTTTCCAAGCTCCTATTGCTTTGACCCGCTCACCAATCCTCATCGCTTTCCTGCTTGGATCAGCCTCCTCTTTGGCCCCTGCCTTCTCTCCACGCAGCTCCATTTCATTCACCTGTCCCTTCAGCCGTCCATCCATATATAAATACATCTGTCCATTCAATTTGTATTTACTAGATATATTGCCATGTGCTACACAGTGTGAATACTATAATACTCGAGTCCCTGCCAGAGACTGATTAGGACCAGCAATAATGCAACAGCCCCACTGAAAAGTACATAATTACAGATGCTATGAAAGAAAATTGTGGGGTTGCTGTGGCAGCATCATAATGGGGCCCTGAGTTGGACAAGGGGCCAGAAAAGCCTTCCCTGAAGACGTGACCTTTGAGCTGAGGTCTAAAATCCAGAGGAGGTGGGCTGGTCTCATAGCCCAGTAGTTAAAGGAACCAGATTCCATACAGCCAATAGTAGATCAAAGTCCGGCCCTAGCACTTGAAGAACATGCTGGGTGTATGTGTGTACATGCCCCAGATCCTAAGAGGATGGAGAAATGGAGAAGAGATTGTGGCATGACCATCCCACATGGTAGGGGGGCTTTCTCCCTCTCTCTCCTTCTCTGTCTCTGGCAAGTGCACATGCTCTCTGTCAATTAGGGGAAAAAAAAAAAAAAAGAAAGAAAGAACGGAAGAGGTAGTTTGACAAAAGAGGGTAGAGCCAAGATCTTCCAAGCAAAGAAACAGTGAGTCTGAAGGCTCTGAGGCAGACAGCAGCAGGACACATTTAGGAAGCCATAAGTCCAATGAGTCGGAAGAGTCAGCCTTTTTTTTTTTTTAATTATTATTATTATTATCTTGGTATTCCCAGGACTCAGCAGAGTCTGGCACGTAATAGGTATCTCAGTAGTTTGCTGAAGGAGCCAACCGATAGATGGAAGGGTGGGTAGTTAGGTGGGTGACGGAGCACGATGGACAGAGATGAGGCTGTAACTCATGGCACAACCTACATCGGAGACACAGAGCTGCAGCCTCCTTGCTAGTCTCTGACTTCAGGCTTCCCCACCTCCAATCCCCACTCCACCCTACAGCCACAGGTGCCTGGCACCGCAGCTCCTCCCACACTGGATACAATCGACTAGTTATTGTCTCCCTTGTCCTCTGTAATGAGCACCACAGGAACCCATCCTGTTTACCAGTAGAGCCTAGCACCAGCCCATGGCCTGTAAAGAGGAAGCACTGCATATAAACACTGAACGAGTTGGTAGGTCTAGGAGGCCACACCAACATCAAAGCCAGTCGGCCAGGAGAGGGTGGCGTTGGGAGTGAGTAAAACAGGAGTTAGCTGCTGGCATCAGCCAGCACGCGAGGGGCTGAGTGCCAAGTGGCACAGAGACGTGCCAGTGGCATTCAGCAAGCATGTCTGGAAACAAGCCCAGAGCCTGCAGAGGCGAGCAAGGACACAGGTGCAGGGGAGCCAAGGAAGAGCTACGGGGCAGGCCCAGGTCACCCCCAGGATGGCCTCCTTCTCCCTGCTCTACTGGGCCTGGCCTCCACCTGTCAGGTCACGCCTTCGAAAGGCACCAACACTTGACCCTGCGCTGCTGCTTCTGCACTGTGGCTCTGTGTGTGCTGCTGGGTGGCTGAGTTCCCCTGGTACACATGCACTCCTGGGGAGATGGCCTGTTTCTGTTAGCCTCTAGGTCCTGCAGATGCCAAGGCCACAGCCTGACACTTAGGAGGTGCCAGCAGATGTGTGTTGGAGGTTAAGGGCCGGCAGAAGAGAGACTTCTGGGTCAGTGGGAAGGGACGTCAACAAACAGGACCTTGGCCAGGAAATCCAGCAGCCTAAGGCTCCATGTCTGAGTGCTTCCTGTTTGCTTACTTGAACTTAGACTTCCTACAGTGTCTATTCTGGTCCTCTCGTTTTGACTTACCACCTTTCAAAATGATCAGTTTCACCATTTCATTCTGCCCTTTTGGCTCCTAAGTTCTGTACCAGCTATACTGACTCTTCCTGCATTTATTCATTAATCATTTACTGAGTCCCTAGGATGAGCTAGATCATAAGTCACCAGGCTCTGGATTGTGTGGGAGAATCTCTGATGGGAGAGATGGCCAAATAATAAACATTCGCAAACCAGAGTGATAAGGGAGCAAAGCCCCAGGGGGACGTGGAGCCCAGACACTCAAACTAAAATAATGGGCCGTTTGATCTTCAGTGTTTTCCCTGAAGCCATTTCCTCCTGTGCAAGAGTGACTAATGAACCAGAATTAGAGATATTTGGGTCAGAGATGCCACTAATTGTTTTTCCAAACACCCAATTGCATGGTCCTTTAGAACAGCTGGAAGCAAAGATCAACCCTTTACCATTCAAATTTGGGGGGATTTTGAGCCTGGCATCTCTGCCTTGGTGCCCATAACTATTTTGTACAGGGCCTCCCTTGGCTCATGGTTGCTCTTCACTCTTAGCCACTCAAGGACCTCAATCCCTGGGCCTCATCACTGTGCTAGAGGGCTTTCCCAAAACAGTGCTAAAACCGAACCAGCCCTGGACGAACTAAGACGTTGGTCAAATTAAAGACTGTGCCCACTGCTGCACTTGTTCCACACACATCCCAGGGTAGGCTGGGCTGGACCAGGGGACACAGAGGAGGAGGTACTCACGGCTGCACTGAAGGGTCTCAGGGTCAGCACGTGCCTCTCCGCTCTCGTACCTTGCCCCTCCAGCTTCCACAATCTAGGCTACTCAAACCTGTCTGCTGAGTCAGCCACACCTCAGCTGCTGAGTCAGTCCCGACGGAGGCAGGAAGGGCGGCTTCGAGGTGGTGAGGAGGGTGGAGACCCAGCAGCTCTTGCATCACCGTCCTTAGCAGCTAGCACAGTGCTGCGTACAGTGGGGCCTTGATAAGTGAATGAGCTCCGAGTGGTCTGGCCTCTCCACCCAGAGGGACAAGATTAGAGCCTCTGACTCAGGCCACTGTCCTCTCCTCAAGTCTCTGTTTCTACTCAGCCATACAACCGCCACAACCCTAGGGAATAGCTTCGAGGCCCCTGCGGCCTGAAACTAGCCCCCTCTCATTTTCCAGCTGCACGGGACCATTTCAAGAAGCCGGCCAGACCCCGTCGGCCAGTACTGACAGCAGTCTGCCCCCTCTCACCCTGAAGTGGCCTTTCTTATGCCTGCCAGACTCCCCATGGCCAGAGCTGAGGTTGCCATGTCCTGGGCAGATCTCCAGTGTATTGGTTGCTCTGTCACCCATTCAGTGTGAGCTGCTTAGACAAGGATCCTGTGTCCTGTCCTATGTGCCCTCTGGGACATCTGCAGTGTGACCTTTCAGAACCTCTGAGCTGGCAACTCCTGTGGGTTCTTCCCACCTCCACTCAGCTGCACTCTCAGGGTCAGTTACAGCCAGCCAAGTGAAAGCGAGGCACCGAGGGAAGTGGAGTCTTTCCTCTGCTCCTTCCCAGTCAACCCATTTACCCCAGCTAGTGCTGCTGAGTCCCTGGAGAGTTGTGAGGAGGGCGTTGGAGGAGCGTGGTGCTATTTGTAGACTCATACTTGCAGAGCTGGTCACTAAGCCCAGCTTCCCACCTGTGCAGGAAAGGGCTCTTGCTGTGTCCTGCAGCTCAATGGGCCCTTCATTTTTGCAGAAATCACACGTGACAGACTGCTCACCACCCTTCTGCTGTGTAGTTATTGGTGGGGTTCTACCTGCCGAGAGAAAGTTTTCACCACATATTCGTCTCTCAAGGGCCGCGTGCCCCTGCTCGTGCAGGTCCTCTTCTGATGCTGAACTCCTGGATTCAGGTGAACTTCCTGTGGGCACCACTGTGACTTGGGGTGAGATCTTCTCCTAAGGCTGTGCCCACTCCCAATGGTAGTAATCAGGATCCCAACAGATGGCATATTCAAATTAGGACAATGTGAGGAAGACTTATTTATAAAGCGACTATTTACCAAGTTGGGGGTGGGATCAAGGGGAACTTCAGCGACAGCGCAGTGACCTGCCTTATGTAGCAAGAGTGGGAACCCCTTAGTGCAGTGCCTCAGTTTGTGTGTAGAAAGCCAGATCTCACAGAGCTGACCCTGGTTTGGATCCTGGCCCTGGAAGTTAGATAAACATCCCAGGAGCATGTGTATGCCCCAAATCTTGATGGGATGGAAAAAGAGAGAAAGTGATTGAGAAGCGCTCTCTCTCTCTCTCTCTCTCTCTCTCTCTCTCTCTCTCTCTCTCTCTCTCTCTCTCTCTCTCTCTCTCTCTCGTGAGAGCATGCACCTTCTGGCAATAAGGGAAAAAAAAAAAGAAAGAAAAGAGAAGAGTAGCAATACTGACCTTGCTTCTTACACCCGAGGGATCGATCGTGCAGGGGACTCATGCCTATGATGTCAGGATGCTGAAGTGTGTAGGTGATCTTGACGCCGCCTGCACAGACTACACTCTGGTCACAAGGTTCTAGCCCGGTAGGTCTCCAACTTCAGTTGAGAAGATGGAGAGTCACTTGGAGAATATGGTCAAGACATGCTCTACTTCAGTGATCCTGGGCCTCAGCACACGGTGTGGGCTCTCCAGGTGGTTCTGATACACAGGAGGTGTGAGGACCACTACTCTAATCTGCACTGGTCCTGCACACTGCTTGGGTCGCATAGGTTGCTGCCTGCATTTGAGGCTCTCATGCAGCCCCCACCTGGCCGAGATCAGCGGTCTCCCGCTAGGCACAGGTAATGAGGACTCCCAGTGGATGGCTACTTAGTGCCTAATGGGCTGGGAGGGTGTACAGTGTGCACGCGCCAGACAAATGGGACAGAGAGGGAGGGCATAAGGTTTCATCAGTGTGACTCAGGATGGCATATAATTTAAAACTTACAAATCGCTTATTTCTGTAATTTTCCACTTAATATTTTCAGACAATAGGAATTGAATCAGCAGAACATAAAACCATGGATGGGGGGGACTACTGTAGTGCCAAGGTCAAGAATGCCTTTATGGGACCAGCAGTTAGCGTAATGGCTATGTCACTGAACTCCCATGTAGTTGACCGCGGTTTGGCTCCCAGACCCGGCTGATTAAACTCACAGTAGGGCGTGTGCATGCGTGCTCAAGATCCCAAGGAGAATGGAGGAGAAGGGATTGTGGCATGGCACTCCCCTCTAGGGGGTGACTTCTCGCTTTCTGTCTCTCTGTCTCTCTCTGTCTTTCTGGCGAGCACACACTCCCTGTAGCAAAAACCTCTCCAAAAAAAAAAAAAAAAAGAATGCTTTTACCAGTTCTTTATGGCTGCTTTTAAGCAAAAATGGGAGGATCAAGTAGATGAGATAGAAAGCATGTGACCTGCAAAGCCTACAGGGTTTTCTCATAGGATTTCTATTAGAGTTCTCTAGAGAAACAGTACTGATAGACTGACTACCGAGATCTGTGGCACCCATTTGGCCAGCATGTCTTCCACCCACGTGCCTATTTTACTTGTCTATGTACATGTGCCTACATTTTAAAAACAGAAACGATCCTAACACAGCTCTGTCCCATCATGTGATTTTTAAATTAAGATGTTATTGGCATATTTTCATATTCATAGAACTTTTCGTCCTGCCTTATTCATTTACTTTCCAAATATAGCTTACAGGTGCTTTATGAACTGAAATATTCTACTGAATGGTTGTAGCTGTTGAATCTCACATTGGCATATCTTTGTTATTCTTTTTTTAAGAATTGTGTAGTTATTTTTATTTAGTCATTCATTTCTTTTCATTTGATCAGCGAGAAAAAGGGAAAGTTAGAAAGCAAGCCACCAGGTCCGAGACTTGAACCGTGGTTGGCCATGTGGGAGTGTTCAGCGCCTTAACCATCATGCCGCTGCTGTTTCCGTATCTTTGTTATTCTTAATTCTAATTTACTTTTTAAATGACAGAATATATTAATACATTCATATGATAAAAAATTCAAACTACGGGAGCTGGCAGATGGAGCGGTGGTTAAGGGCGCTGGACTCCCACATGGCTGACCACGGTATGAGTCCTGGACCCTGCAGATGGAAAATCACACCTGCACCTGTGCATGCATGCCCAAAATCCGGAGAGGAGAATAGAAGAGAAGGGATTGCAGCGTGATCATCCCCGTCCTCCCCACACCGGGGTGACTTCTCAGTTTCCCCCTCTCTGTCTCTCTCCAGGGAGCATGCGTGCCCTATAGCAAAAACCTAAAAAAGAAGGAATGCAGCTACTGGGTCAGAGGTAGGTTCGCTTAAATTTTGAAAACTATCACATCCTGGTTTTTTTGAACTCCCAATGGAACGATTGAGAGTACCTGGTTTCTTGTGTCCTTTCTAGCTTAAAGCATCATTAAAACAATTTCCTAGGTTTGGAGGCAAGGCGTGGTCTCTCACTATTGCTTTTCTCGCCATTTCTTCACATACTAACGAGGCTGGACATGTTTACAGCGTGGCCGGCCTATTACCTTTGGTTGCTTGCTGATTGTCTGTCTGTGTCCCTCCCTCCTCATTTATCTGTTGCAAAAGACCATCTAATTTTAGCCACGGTTGGATGAGATAAAGAATTAGATAACATTTACAATTATGGTTTACAGAAGATTCACGTCTGTGCTAGACACTGCCAAGCACTTTGAATAGACTGTTTTTCATGGAAGGAACTTAGTGAAGAAGATATTACTATCTCCACTTTACGCATGAGGAATTAGAGCTTAGAAAATGAAAACACCTCACCTCAGGTCACTTACCTGGTACGTGGAAGGAGCCACAGTCTGAAACCAGCATTGACTGCCCAGAGCTCCCACTTGGTCGTCTTATTTCAAGGGTCTCTTTGTAATTCATTGACTAACTCATTCATTCAACAGACATGTGCTGAGAGCCCACACTGGGCAAGCACGTATCTGCCTGGCACGGAGGGCACCAGTGGGGTTGCTGGGCGCTGCCTCTGAGCTCTGCACACTTCCTGCCCAGCGAAAGCTGTGCCTGGACTGATAAGGAAGGAGGGGAGGGAGCTGTGACTAGAGTCTGGAAAAGAGTAGCTGCATGGAAAGGGCCCCTGACAGGACCTGTGGCTTTCACAGAATGTCACCAACCTTCTGTGACCCAGTAAGGCGAGAAGCAGGAATAAATACCCTAGCTTCAAGCTCCTTCCTCCCTACCATGCCGTGCCAGGGTTTCCCATAGAACAAGCATAGCTGGAGGCCAAAAGACAAGGATGTGCAGTAAGGAACTCCATGTAGGTCAACCTCACAGGGCACGGAAATTGGTGGGTGGGGCAGGAGAGGGACATGAAAAAGCATATCTAGAGGGGCAAACAACAGCCAACCAGCCCCCCCATCTTCTGCACACCAGTGTTGGGTTCCCGACACGACTGTGCACCCACCTGTCTCACTTACTACCCAAGGTACACCTTAGTGGTGGCCAGTAGTGGGTCTCTTGGCCCAAGGCCCAGTCAAGGCAGGTCACTGATGTAAGTTCAATGGAGATGACATTGTTTGCGAAGGGTGTCTGAGAGGTCACTGAGAGCTTCCCTATTTTTTTTCCCTAAGTTTTAATTTATTTCTTCTATGAGCATGAGAGAGAGAGGTAAAGAGAGGGGGCAAGAAAGAAAAACAGCACCCACAACAGGGTCCTGATGCCACAATCTCCCTCCAGCCTTCAGCCAGCCCTGGGTCATGGGCAAGTGTGTGCCCTGTGAACTCAGGTCTCCAATGTGAATCAGGATCTTCCCATGTGGCATTGCCTTATAGATTGTTGCTTTTTACCTCTGTATCACTAAGAAGCCATAAAAAAAAAATAAAAGTAGAATTGGATCAGCAGATGCCATGGAAGTTAAGGCAGCTGGATTTCAAATGGCCGACCGTGTGGTTCAAGTTTCGGACCCAGCTGGTTGAAAATCATGCTGAGTGCGTGTGCGTGTACGTGTCCAAGGATCTGAGAGGAGAATGGAGGAGATAGGATTGTGGCCTGATTATTTCCCCAGGGTGTGATTTCTCACTTTCCCTCTCTCTCTTTCTCTGTCTCTCTCCACTGAGTACATGTGTTCTACAGCAAAACAAAAAAGGAGAATTGATAAATACAAAATAGTACATTTAAAACAGATAATAACAGGAGATAATCCTCTGAACTGTAGCCGAAGAACAGGATTACAATTAGAATGAAGAAAAGGGATATACAAGTAGGTCAGGATCGTTCTATGTGTTAAGGACGACTGACTTGGCTGTTGCAATGCTATTAGGATGACTTAGCTGGAGGAGACTGGTGGGATGTCCCCCAGGAGGTCAACATTCCCTGCCCTCATGCAGTTAACACATTAGGCATCTTGGAATGCTGATTTTGTCATCAGATCTATTGGGTCATCAGGAAAGATATGCATTTTTCTGTTTGTTTTGTTTGTTTTTGAGAGGTTTTTGCTATAGGGCACGTGTGCTCACCAGAAAGACAGAGAGAGACAGAGAGACAGAAAGTAAAAAATCACCCCCTCGGGGGATGGCCACACCGCAATCCCTTCTCCTCCATTGTCCTCTCAGAATCTTGGGCACGCACACACATGTGCCCAGCGTGAGTTTAAGCCACCGGGTCCGGGACTCGAACCGCGGTCGACTATGTGGGAGTCCAGCGACATAGCCATTACGCTAACCTCTGGTCCCAAGACGTGATGTTTTTTTGCATAGAAAAAGATGTCACGGCTTTCTGGATAACCTAACATTTCTCATTAGTTGTGATCGTAGACTGATGTATACATCCAAATATGAATTTATAAATTAAAAAAATAGAAATATAAGTGAGACTGGAATACTAATTCACAACAAGGGACGTCTGATAGATAAACTGAGCAATTAATGGCCAAGGCAGTCTTGTAGAAAATATAAACTGGATAAATATTTTCATCTTGTAACAGGGATGGCCTTGCCAACTAGACCAGCATATGTGAAGTCCTCACTGAACAGGCCCATCTCCTGAATAGTTTAGATGGGCACTTGCAAACGACTGCATCTCTGACTCTTGTGTGTCTGCTTCTATGGTGACCAACCCTCCCCTCTTGCTGACTGACACAGGCTTGCTTCTGACACACTAGCGCATTCAAAAAGGCTACTTCAACAATGGCAGTCACTCTGTCTCTTCAGCGGTGGAGCAAATGGAAGTTTAGAATCAGTAATGTAAGCTCATTTGACCTTTCTCATGAATTGGGCCATAGCAGGTAGAGATGGAAAGTCTAAAATAAAATACTAGCACATATAATGAAACAATGACAGAAAAATTCACTATACTTGTGCTAAGCATATCAGTAATACAAGAACAATTCGAAGAAAGTAATTAATTAACATACTATGTTAAAACTACAGATCAGGGCTGTCCCATAGTTAGGGAGCTGAATCCTACAGGGCCGACCACGGTTTGCATCCTGGCCCCAGAGGCTCGAAAAGCATTCTGGGCATGTGTGTGCATGACCAAAATTCTGACGAGAAAGAGAAATGGAGGAAAAAGGATTGTGGCATAACCACAACCAATGGGAAGGGGTAGTGCTTTCTTGAGCTCGTTCTCTCGCTCGCTCTCTCTCAGACGAGTGTACACATTCTCCGACAACAAAAACAAAGTAACAAAAACTATAGATCAAATATGAAATGATCATAAATGAGAAAAAGGCAATGCAATTCAATAGCCTTTTCTAACAAAAACTAAAGATAAAATAGATGATATTCTTTAGCATTATTTAAAAAAATCTTTTTCCCCCATAGGGAGTATGTGCTCTCTGGAGAGAGAGAGAAAGAGAGAGAGAGAGAGAGAGAAGAAATGTGAGAAATCACTCCCTGGGGGATAGCCATACCACAATCCCTTGTTCTCCCTTCTCCTCCTGAGATTTTGGGCACACACACACATGTACCCTGTGTGATTCTCCAACCACTAGGTCTTGGACCTGCACTGATTGGCCATGTGGGAATCCAGTGTCCCAACCACTTTGCCACCTGCTTACTCCCATTTTAAGATTTTTCAACTGTGATAAAATAAACATAACCTAGAATTTATCATCTTCACCACTTTAAGGTATCCGGTTTAGTGGCATTAAGTACATTCACCTATCATTAAATACATTCAACTATCATCACCATCTATTTCTTTTTTTAAAAAAAATGATTAATTTTGGGACTAGAAGATGGCATAATGGTTATGTCACTGGACTCCCATGTAGTAGACTGCGGTTCAAGTCCCAGACCCAGTGACTTAAAATTCAAGCTGGCCATGTGTGCATGCATGCCCATCCCCTGAAGGAGTGATTTCTCACGCTCGGTTTCTTTGGTGAGCGCATGCGCCCTATAGCAAAAATCTCTCTCAATTTTTTTTTTAATTTTATTATTATTTTTAAATTTGCTATAGGACACACGACTCTCTAGAGAGAGACAGACAGAGAAAGAGAGAAAGCAAGCCACCAAGTCTGGGACTTGAATTGCAGTTGGTCATGTGGGAGTCCAGCACCCAACAACTATGCCACCTGCTGTCTCCCATCACCGCCAATTTCAAGAACTCTCTTCATCTTGCAAAACTGAAGCTGTGTACCCATTAAGCAATAACTCCCCAGTTCCCCTTATCCTCAGTCTCTGGCAATCTCGTCTGTTTTCCATCTCTACAAATTTGATTATTCCTGGTATCTCATCTAAGTACAATCACAACATACTTGTCTTTTTTGTGCCTGGTTTATTTCACTTAGTAGAATATCCTCGAGGTTTACCCCTGTTGTAGCATGTGTCAGGACTGCCTTCATTTAGGCTTTAATAATAGTCCATTGTATGTATATACCATATTTTGTTTATTCATTCATCTGCCAATGGACATGGGTTATTTCTACCTTTTGGCTCTTGTGATTAATGCTATTATGAATGTGGGTGTACAGATGTCTCTTTGAGACTCTGCTTTCAATTATTTTGGTTATAAACCCTGTACTGAAATTGCTGAATCATACGGAAATTCTACTTTAATTTTTTGGTGACTGTACCATTTTACATTCCCACCAACAGTGCACAAGGATTCCAATTTCTCCATATTCTTGCAACGCTTGTTATTTTTTGTTTTGTTTTTATAGTAATCAGCCCTAGGACATAATTTTTTTTAAAGGTATTTATTTAGCATTTGTGACAGAAACTAGTCTAGAGTGTCATATATTATCAATATTACTTTATTTTCTTTTGAAAATTCTGGCTACATGAAACATAAGTATAAAGACATTAAACTTCATAAAGAAGAGGGAAAATACTATTCTAGTTATGCTTGGAAAACCAAAGCAGTAAACTGAAAAATAATCTAAAATATTTTTAAAAGGTTAGTTAAATGGTTAATTATAATATATATATGTGTGTGTGTGTTTGTGTGTACATGTATATATATATATATAAATGAAATAGCATTATATTATCAATCATCAGTTTGGAAGTATAAGAAAATGAATTCTATCCAAAGTGTTAACAAAGGATAGATAAGTAAATTATTAACAAGGAACATAAGCTCAGGAACATTTATCTTTAATCTTTCATGTTATATTAAGAAAACAAAATGTTTGAGAAAAAATTTTTTTCTTTATAAACCAAATACATGAGCTGAAAAAGACAGCAGATTTCTTAGTGGGCCTCCAAATACTGTGAAGATGTAAATATTTCTCCCTGCTCTCCTAAACTGTTTGCAGCAAATGCAATTCCAATTAAAATCTTGGCAGGGTATTTCTTGGAAAATTGACAAAACTCTTCTGAAGTTAACCTGGAGGCATAAACAGATCAGAATTTCAAATAAAATTCAGAAGAAGAGCAATGGATGGCGAAAAGACAAGCTCTGGTGGGTACTAAAACATATTCTAAAGCAATGCGATTAAAATATCATGGGTTTTGAGTAAAATCATGCTGTTGAAGCAGAATGACAGGGCGAATGGAAAAGCTCAGAGAAGGTATTATGAATAAAAAGTTAACGTAGGGTGAAGGACTC